CGACCAGATGTCATTCTCGCCCAGCGTGCACGTCATATTCGTGCCAAGACTGGGAAAGAGGTGTATGCCCAGGCCGAGAAAGAGCACACAAGTTTTGGCGAAATTCTCAAAGAGACGCTCGTTCGACCAACGCGTATGCTATGCACTGAAGGCGTCGTCCTTTCCTTTGGGCTATGGAGCGCTTTCTGCATCGGGACGGCCTTCATGTTCACGCAGTCCATCGTACAAGTCTTCTCAGAGCTGTACGGCTGGACATTCTTCGGCACAGGCCTCGTGCAATCCGCCGTCGTAATCGGAGAGCTCATCGGCCTCATTGCATCTCTAATCCAAGACCGCGTCTACTTCGCATCCGCGAGACGCAACACTGAAACCCCAGGGCAGCCGATCCCAGAAGCGCGACTTTATCTCAGCATCCCAGCTTCGTTCATCGGTCTGAGTGGTGGACTGTTCTATTTCGCATGGACGTCCTACTCTTCCATCCCGTGGATCGTACCCAGCATATCGCTCGCTTTCGTGGGCTTCGGTATGTTCTGCAGTACAGCCGGAGTAACGACGTATGTGGTCGATGCGTACGCGAAGTATGCTGCTAGTGCTATCGCGGGCATTGCGTTTCTGGAGAACTTTATGGCGGCTTTCTTGCCGCTTGCGACGCAGAGTATGTATCGTACGTTGGGATTTAAGTGGGCGAGTAGTTTATTGGGCTTTATCGCGTTGGCGTTGAGTTTCATTCCGTTGATTCTGTTGAGGTTTGGGAAGAGCATACGTGGGAAGAGTCCGTTTATGAGTGAAGCGGGGTATGGAGACTGAGTGTGCTCAAACTTTTAGTTGATGGGAAAGGAGAAGACACAATACAAGGTATATCTTTGCATAATGAATATGCTCATGTGAAACGTGTGAGTAGAAGTGCATAAATGCCTTGGTCATAAGATGTGTTGGAGTGACGTAAAGCAGAAGCCCACATGCGGAGGACGATTGGCGTACCAGATGGACCAGATGCGACACCTTCACTTCATTGCCGGAGCCAGCGCAATCGCAGAAAACCTCAGGTCTCCCCCTTTCTCAGACTCAATCCTCATCAAACGACCAATACCCTTCTCCAACGCAGCCGGACTAAGCACGTCCTCGTCCTCCCCCAACACACCCCGATCAAGCGGACCCATGCGACCGCCTTCAAGTTCCCACAGATGTCCATCTTTCGCCTTGACGAAAGCCACAAAATGCTGACCTGTATGCGCCTCCTCGATCTCTGCAGGCGGGGCAGAATCTCCCAGTTTCACGGCGTCTGCGTGAGCCTTCTCGAACGCGTCGGAGTCTTCGAGCACTTTCGCGCGCTCCCAGATGGGCTTTGGTAGCGCGTCTTCGCGGATCTGGGCTAGTGTTGAAGAGGGCTGGATGTGTTGTGCAGCGTCGCTGTTGAGAAGGCAGTGCACAAGGCCTATGCTGCCGCAAGCATTTCCTATGGTCTGCTTGAACCATATGACGGGTTCGGCGTCGCCTTTACCCTCGTACTCGGTCTTGTCCTTGTCTTCTGTTGTTCGGGCCTCGTCCCAGGTAGGTGTCAGAGGGATGATGACAAGTAGTGCTACCGCTGGTCGCGGGATGAAGCTCAACATGTCGGAGTCAGTGAGTGAGTAGATGTCGTAGAAAGAGAGCGCTGTTGTGTCCAGACCGAGGTCTTGAGCCAAGTGATTCATGACTTCTGGATTGTTCTCAAGGACGTTCCACATCTTCTTCGGCATCTTCTGCGGGGTCTCTTGCGACATTTTGAATGTAGTGTTGGTTGTTCAGAGATGCTGGGGGTTGAGTTGAGCTGGCTGCTGGTGTTTAGTAGACTTCAGGTGTGGAAAGGTTAGTCTTGATGAATATGCTGCTTCCTAGGCAGCGATCAGACGCGTAACAACGACATTCAGTGACAGGCAGCCATGCAGGTACGCTGCAGGTAAGTGGAAGGGCGTACAGGGCGGACAAAGGTGGGGAAGGATCAGGCCCGCCAAAAAGGGAAAGGCCCCGCGCTAACCCTGAGTTAGGCGCGGCTGGCGGGGCATCAATCAATCCCCGCGGTGGTAGTATCTCATCGAAGTTCAGACAACGCATCATCTCACAAACTTTACGTATGAAACTGCGTTGTGGGTACGTGATGTCTTCCTATAGTTGAACGATGTTCTCCCGCAGTCATCTATTGGCGCGGACATCCGAGCAATCTGTAGGGGATACATGTTGCATCCGCCGGCTCTCCGCAGTAGTGAAGTCCAGCGCTTACATTTGAGCCTCTTCATCCACCACACTTCTTATATGACTGACCTAGAGTCTCTCCGCGTATCTCAGCTCACCTTTACCTAACAAACCAGCGAACAAGATACTCAAACTCTACCTCATCACTCCAGATTCCCACTTTCGAGCCCATCATGGACGACGAAGCCCGACAAGCAATGGCCAGCATGAAGATGCCACGCCGACCCATCAACTTCGTTTCTGCGAAACAAGGCGAGATACTCAAACTAGGCCAAATCACTTGCAGAGTCATGGAAGATGGATCGCGAACAGACAACCGCATAGGCTCCGCAGAGTTCACACTGCCTCCAAACACACCTGGACCACCAGCACACTGGCATGAGATGCACGACGAGACGTTCCTTGTTACCAAGGGAATGGTTCGAGTACGTCTATACCTTTCCAACATTTCTTTCCTGCTTTACCGGACCAAATCGCTAACCCTCAACGCAGTTTCACGCACCTGACGGCGCCATACAAGACGCCTACGTCGGCGACTACGTTACCGTACCCATTCGCGCACCCCACACCTTCTCGAACCCTACAAACGAAGAGTCCAAGTTCTTCAACACTTATACCCCCGCGTTTTACATCGATTACTTCAAGACCCTGGCTGAGATAAGTAAGACGGATGAGAAGATGATGAAGGAGAAGAACATCGAGGTCATGGCGCGGTATGCGACACTGCCTGCAAAGGAGATGATGGAGGAGAAGAAGTAAAAGCCGAGGACAGCCCTTGCGGATTGATATAAGAATAGTGCTAGGAATACAATCATGCGTATGCGGTACGCAGGAAAAGGCTACAAAAAGACGCCGGAGCTATCAATACAATAAAGAAGTCTCCACCCAAACACCGCCAGGGCCAGCCCAGCGCAACGTCTCAAATCACAGTCGTATCCCCCTCCTCATCCACTCTACAGATACTGCACTCCTGATACAACTTTGCGCAAAACTCCCTCACCGTCATGTCAGCACCCATATCCGTCCCAATAAGATGGTTCTTCATGCAATACCACACCCACTGCCCACCGCTCGCCTCATCTCTCCTCAGATAGTTCTCGCCCGGGCTCCACGTATCCAAACTGAATGTTATGCCAGTGAGTTGCGGCCCCCGCGGCACGGTGTCAGAGTACTCCGTGCCGAGCATCTTGAGTGACTGGGAAGCGTGGTACCAGATCCAAAGCGGGTTCCAGAGGGGATCGCCGAGGGCTTTGGCGTCGAGAGTAAAGGTCTTGACGTTGGACATGTGTTTGAGTTGCTCGCGCATGCGGCGGCCGAGCGTCCAGGATGAGGATGTCATGGAGCGCGGGTCTGTGACGCCGAGCATGGACGATGTTGTGACGAGCTTGAGGGAGCAGTTTTGCACTTTGGAGAGCAGGTCGGGGGAAATATTCCATACTCGGTTATCCTGTGTTGATGGCGCTGGGAATGCAGATGGAGGGATGGTTGTGGCGGGCTTGTATGTCTGGGGCGTGACGCTGAAGTGGAACGTCTTGCGCTTGCAGATCATGTCCATGTATTCGGAGTACACTTGCTTGTTCGCTAGGAATATCCATTTACTTTCGTGTCGCACGGGCGATGATGTAGATGTGGATGTCCAGCGCGCGGGTCGCATCCAGTTCAGCGTCGAGCGTTGGATCTCGTTGCGCGCTGGTGGCGGGTAGATGGGGTCGTCAAGGAAATGCTCATACACCATATCCCTCAGCTCTTGTGGTAGGTCCAGGAACCGGAACGGCTTCTTGTTTTGGTATTGCATTTTGCGGTACTTTCTGAAAGCGACGAAGCATAGTAGGGGAAGTAACAATGCGAGGAGGGTTATCCAACCCTTAGGCTCAACGCCAGCAATATTGTAGTCTGCAAGCCATGGCTGCCAGCGCGACAGCTCGCTCGTCTTTATCGATGCGGATGCCATGACGATGCTCATGGTAAAGTGTAGGGTGCCGTGTAATCGAGCGTGCCTAGCACGCTAGCGGAATACGTGCGATGCGAGGAACACGATGGTGCCAGGGGCGCTGTCCAGCTTCCCTCACACAACAAAAACAGTGCGGGACTACGGGTATCGCGCGATGCTGAAACAATAGTCCTGCCTTCGTATACGGCAGTATCCAATCGCCGAAGCGTTCTGATCGGTCAGACGACAACTCCGAAGGGTGCCGCGTTGTTTGGCCGCTCGCACAAAGGGATCGTGCGCACACGCGTGATGCAAGACTGCGCGATGAGTCGAAATGAGATGATGGGTGGAGGTGCAAACAAGGGAGGTTGTGGAGGAATGCGCGAGGGGGAGATTCGCAGCTGAGTAAGATAATCAATACTGATGCCTTGCGGATACGACTGATGAGGCAACCTGAAACGGGTCGCCTTGCGCCGCAGCTGCTAACAACGACATCGCCACGTTGACACTATCGTCAGGCGGCACCGCGTCAGACATCCATCATCTCCGTACCTGACGCACGTGTTCGATCATAGGTCGCGCATATCAACGACGAGAACAGGAAAGGCACTTATTCGAAGATGCGCATGATGGGCTTTGTGTACGTAGAATCTCGTTGTTCTGCCAATGCCTGGCTCAATGCACCTTGGAGGAAGGTGTATGCTACCTAACACGATGCCAGTCGTTCGATCAGACTTCCAGCGAGTACCTCTTAGGTGTCTCTTAGTGCCATCTCTAAAATGGCTATGTCCGACGCTCAATTTGAGCAACTGAACGCCGGCACGCACCCTACTGTCGATCACTCCTTCCTTACCACCACTGCCACACCGATAGTCTCGAGGAAGCGAACTTCTGCAGACTGCTCAAGACGCTGCTTGAACCCAATATCATCTCCATATCCAACTGAACACACAACCTCAACTCGTTCCAGGTCTGGAAAGTCGGTCTTCGTCAGCTCTCCTAGCCAGCTCGCGAGCTTTGACTTGCGGTCCCCGTCATCTGGCCCTGGAGACCTAGGATGGGTGATGACTAGAGTTCGAATGCGACGAGGTAACAGCTGAGACGGATCGGATCCAGCGAGACGCTGGAAGTTGTGACTATCCACCAGGCCACACTCAGCAATCTGTATTCGTCGTAGCTGTTCAAACTCACGAACGTCCAAGCGAGTAGTTGAGGTGTCGGCGAAATGTACAGGCTCTGTGTACGTGAACGTCAGTTTCTCGACTGAGCGTGCGTGGCACACCAACATCTGCACAGCCTCTGGGCTGAAGCAGCCAGTATTTCCGAAGGCTGAACAGCCGAAATGGTCTACAGTACTCCGAGGAAATTTGGGGTGACCCAAGTCCCGCAGATAAGAACCCAAAGTCAATGTATGGATGTTTGGGAGATGAATGAGGAAGATGATCGCTCCCACGAAGTCGTTGTTCGGAGCTCCAGGTTCCATTTCCAGTGTGAGCGATGTGATATTGGGAGCTTTTGCAGTGTTGCTCGGTCTCAGTAGCTTGGCCTTGATGCCTATGCATAGGGTATGAAGCGTAGGTAATGTAACGACCGCCCAGTCCAGATGACCATGAGAGAGGCAGATAGACGTAAGCTTCGAGAAGCAGGGTAGTTCCACAAGCTTGTGTATGGGGACTGGGAGTCTTCCGAAGATGTCCTTGTTGATTTCACGTACCGGACGACCAGGGTGCTCTAACTCGGTCCTGCAGGTATAGTCGTCTAGAGCGGTAATAGTCAAAGAACGCAACTCGGTAAGACGAGCCAGGAGATCGCAAGCGAGTTCATTCTCACTCACTTTGACTACATAGCTTCCAGGCTTGATCATTAGGCAGACGGGCGACACGCCGGAATACATTAGCTGTGGATACTTGACATGTGTCGAACGCGGCAGGAACCACAAGTCCTGGACTTTGGTCGCCAGATGAGGCTTTTGTTTGATAGTCCAGAGAAATACTGCGAGACCAGACTTGGTGGGGCGGCCAAACGTAGACTCGTGTTCCAAATCGTCGTAGGCTGGACGAAGGTCGACAACGCGGTAGAGGACATCTTGCGCAGCCTCGGTGTAGCGCTTCGAGGCGCGTGCCAACGAACATAGACCCTTGTAGTCCAGACTCTCAGCCACTTGTATCAGAGTCTCGACGGCGCATCTATCGATATGGCACTTGCCAGGTGTCGGAACGGAGGGGTCTTGCATCGCGAGCATACCGAGTGCGCTTGAGAGGTCGGCGTCGGGTGTCGAGGTCACTGACAACGCGGTACCTGAGGCGGGGTTTGAGAGACGATGCAGAGACTGATGTTGGAAGTAGCTTGGTAGTGGTAAGTGGTGAGAGACGAGGCGCGCTAGTGGTAGCAAACACGAGGGCATGGCCTAGAAGGGAAAGTGCGTTTGCACACCTTGTTCACCTTGTTCACCTTGTTCACCTTGTTCACCTTCACCACGGGATACGAGCGGCAACTACGTGGCAAGATACTTTTGGATATCAAGCAAGAGCCGAAAGACATACATATGACCAGATCAAGTTGAGAAGGGTGTCATTTCTATTTACAGTCCGGGTTGAGTTGAATGGTATCAATGTGGAAGAGTGATTACTTCACCACCGTAGATTTTCCGAAATCATTCCGAGAGAGGAGAGTGTAGCCACGAGCCATCTCCGACTGAACCCATCTTTAATGCTTCTTTATACCGTATCGGATCTCTAGCACATCGACACGTCGTGAAATATCCTCTAACTCTTCAGTCTGAGTGTGGGTTTGCTCTTTCATCTTTCGAGTTTGCTCTTTAACCTTTTGAGTTTGCTCTTTGATCTCTTTGATCTCTTCAATCAACTTCTGTTGCTCTTCTAGAAGTCTCCGGCGCCGGTTGCGAATGCAGATTGCGGGCCCCATACCCCCGTATGCCATAGACAGAATGAACAGAGAAGACATGTTGCAGTTCTCTAGTGTTGAAACGTTGGGTGTTACCTTTTGGGTTAGCAGTATACAGTGACAGAGGTGAAGTACCTACGGATAACTCGATTTCAGGCGATGAGTAAGAAGGGCTTTCTAGCAGTAGCCTTTCGTGCGTATGAGCAGTGTTCGACGAAGAACTTTCCTAACGGAAGGGGACCCTGTTCAAATACTAAGGTGGGTAGATCGGGTGGTGCTGTTGCCTACAGCCTATGTAAAAAAGTGTAATATGTTAACCATGGTACACAACTACCAAAGTTGCATCAAGACCTTTCGCGAACCTCAAGCACGGAAACCACCACGGAAGAGTCACGTTATGGAAACTCTGTAAAGACAATGCGTTCATTTCTTAGACATTAGAAACTACCAAATTATTAGGTATTATCCTCAACAATTACTTCTTTCCCCTATCACTGTCCCGAGGAAGGCTTAGTATCCAAGCTGACCCCTAACAGCACCAGCAACGAACTGCGCAGTGTGGGAGTCAGTGAAGAAACCCTTGGGGTTAGCTACAATCTGCTTGACGTGGAAGCCATCAGCCTGGTCCTTCTGGGTAGTTGGGTTGATGACGCCAACAGTGAAGGGACCCTTGAGGCAGCCAACGGAAGTACGGCGGTCATCGGGGCCGGTAGGGTTGGGGAAGGCCTGTGAGATGTGCGTTAGTAATCGTCTCAAGTATGCGTAATGCAAGAGGAAAAGGAGGCAAACTTACAAGTCTGGGTGGTCCAGCCTTGCCCTTGACAGCCTCGTGGATGTGGGTCGCAGTGAGCGCAGGGGACTGGTAGTCTCCAGTTACACCGCTCAGGGTGATGTTGTAGCAGATGGTGTTCTCAGCGATGTTGATGCCGTATTTGAAGAGGCCCTTGGCGCCGGGCTGGCCGGGTGCAGGTGCGCCGGTGTTGGCGATGACCTGGTCGGGTGTGGCCTTGACGACGTATTCGGCGTCGAAGTAGAAGAGCTTCTCGTTCTTCTTCCAGCCGTTGTCCTTAGCGTTCCATTTGGCGTCCCAGTCCTTCTTGCAGTCGGTCTTGTAGTCGTGCTTGCCGGCAGTGGGAGCGGCGAAGGCAAGGGGAGCGGAGATGAGAGCGAGGAGGGCGGGGGTGGTGAAATGCATGTTGGATGTTGTGTGTGTAGCGGAAGCTGTTGAATGGTATGTGGATGTGGTGAGGAGGATGTGAGATGCTGATGAGGAATAATTGAAGCTATCCTGTGCGGTCCTTTATACACATACGGCTCTCCACTTCACCATCAGAGCTCAACTTCATTTCCTTCTTGCCCTGGCCCGATGACATCGGTGGACGACGCACTGCAAGCATGGATCGGTGGTAAAGACTCTTGGAGATGGACACTGGTGTCTTGGTGAAATCTTCAACGTAGGTTTCGCCAAGTCAACAGCATGATTTGAGATCATTTCCGCCATGGCCGAGCCCGTACATGCAATGTAAGGCGTGACCCGCGGTATGGGTAGTGGTCTTGGTATCTCCATTTTGCTGACAAGAACTTAGACGGAAGGAGTGAACCCCGATGCGAGGCTGCCGCCTGCATGAATCTGGCCAACGAGAGTTGAGCCCATCAGAAACCTAGCATGTGTGCCCAATGAGCAGAGCGCTCGAACGTGCCGTAGAAGACGCCGTCCACCGTCTTGGTAACGGAAGATCCCATACTTTTGCAAGGCGAGCTTGCATCCATCAAGCCCACGATCGCCCCCAAGATATCGCCTAGCTATCTTGGTGCGGGTAGAGTAAGATCCGTAGTCTTACCCCAGCTCCTGATCGGGCTTACTCCTTCACCAAGTCTTCCTTTTTGAGCCATGATCTACCTACCCGCGTGGCTGTGCTGACAGAAAAGGACTACATGCCCAAGGCGCTAGCTCGCGTTGGCCTTAATGTCGACCAAACGTACTCGTAAGGCGCTATCGTTTCCCCAGAGAATTGAAATAGACCTTCGGGTCTCGATTGATGTTGACGTTGGTGTCCGCAGCGGAGAAGTTTAGTAAACTTCCTGGGTACTCTTGGCTGCAGCGCCGTGGGTGCCCCGGAAAGATGCCACTCATCACTGACTTGTACAGTATTTTGGAGTAATGTTGGTCTCCATCGTAATCTGCTGTAATGCCGTGTATGTGTGGTAAACTGTCAGACTTTAGTTGTGATGTTCAGGAAGAAGAAGCTCCCGGTGCTTCCAGCTGACAGGATGACATCACCAATGTGCCAATGCCAAGACCCACCCGATAGCGGCCTGTTCTCCGCCTTTCCTCCTCACGCTTTCCGCGCACTACCGAATTGACAAGCCGGGGACCGGATCTCTAGCAACACGACGGCCCAAATGCCCAGACAACGCTGCTCAGCCGTACTGGCGTCCTGTTACGTTTTCTTTCAACGATCAGAGCAAAACTTCAAATGATCAATCGGCCTTCGCCAACAAGTGCATGCATTATCACTACGTATCTTTTGAAGAAACCGACTCGCTTGGGAGGTTCAAGGGCCTCTAGTTTCCTACGTGAGGGCTGAGAGATAGAATGAGAAGGATGCTAGCGCTAGATGTGATACACCAAGAGCTTGCTTGGTTGGAGACAAAAAAGAATCTAGAAAAGGACTGCTGGTTTCAGGAAGGGAGCAGTCTAAGTCAATCACAACGCCAATAGTTCACGAAAAGCATGTTAATATCAACAGAAGATTAATATCAGCCTAAGAATGTAGCTACGTAGACAAACCGAAAACTCTCAGATCGTACCTCTCAGCTCTCTTCATCCTTCCGCACTACTCAAGCGATATCGACACAAGACAGATGAGATATCAGCAGATCACTAAATGCGCCAAGCTCGAAGACATCGATCGTGCTACCCCTAGAAAGCGACTGCGCGCGTTGGAACTGCAGGTGAAGCGGGTGTCCTTGGTGATGGAGCCACGGAGGCAGGCAAAGAGCTCTGCGACGAAGCTGAAGAGCCAGACACTCCAGGGGCGAATTCTCTTGGGAACCATCAGGCGTTCCATCGCGACAATATGCCAATTTTCTCTCCTCTGAGGACGCTTACAACAACTCATGCGCCTTTCGGTGGGACAACGCCACGGACGACTTGATCTGGGGTCTCCACGAGGTAATGTTTAGAATGGCGTATGCATCTGCCTCTGGTAAGTACTGAAAGGCCCCATAAGGTCGTCTCACCCTTCCTTCACAATATGGAAATCTGACAGGGGTATACAGATAACGAGAGACAGGCCCTGCGTTGACGTGGACGTACACAGGCAGTGGTTTAGTGTACAAAGCATAGTACTTGGCGTTTTGGATCGCCATTGGCTCTATGCTAGTTGGCTTACTTGCTTCGATGAGTCTACTCTGGGGCTACTGGCATCTGAAAAGGGAAGTTAGCCTGAGTCCTGTCGAGACGGCCCGAGCACTTGCAGAGACTGTTCTCTTGCCGCCCTCGGGTAGCCATGATATGACTGTTGAACAACTGTTGAAGGAGTTTGGTGATCGAAAGGCTAAACAAACAGTGACCGCGGGAGTGGTGTGACGTTTGTCGGGTGTTGAAACTTGAGCTAGATTTGTATCCAGACAAGGAAATGTGTAGAAGGCTGTGAACAGTCACATCACTGTCGCGCGAATATCTCCGTTGGCACGACGATATCATACATCCCACATCAGTCGCTATCTCCTCTCCTACGTCGCGTTACTACTGAAATTCCCAATGAAGACAATGAGTACAGCACAGTACGCTGCGGTCGCGGCGAAGAGCTCGGCTCGCTTTGCCTTTGTGAGCAGACCCATCGATGCGGCGAACAACAGTGAGAAGACGATCAAGAGGCCGATGTTGAGAAACGTGCTGGACCGAGTGTTGTTCCACGTTATGCGATACATGATGAAGACAGGTGTAGCCAGCAGAAAGATGATGATGAGTACAACAACCAGAATAGCGATTTTCTCGATCCGGTCATTATGCGTGTATCTCAAATATGGATCCTGGAATCCCTTCGGCGATGTATTGATAAACAACTGATGCCGAGGGGTTAGCATGATTTCCCCCTAATACGCGATCAAGATACTCACCGCACCCATACTCTTAGGTAGTTTGGTAACGGCATGGTCGATCCAGCTATCAAGCTTCCCAGATTCATCTCTTGGCTTCAAAGTGACAAGGTCCTCCTTCATTTGGATGAACAACTCTTCTTGCTCGTTGGACAGGGGTTTGTTGTTCCAAAACCATCTACGGGCGTTTATCCAGTCCCGGTCGTTGGGTCGCTGGAACTCAGCTAGCTCACGTGCTTTAATCAATATCTTGTCGTATCTGAGGAGCCTATCTTCGATTTTGGCCAGGAGTACGGTTCGTTTGCTAAGGATAGGGCTATTGAACCCCTGTCCATGTTTTTCACCATCCACTATGTGGCTTGCATTGTTGCTTGCTCCATTATCGGACTGACTTGTTGTTGGACGTTTTCGTCGACCTTGATACTCCTGTCGAGCAGCGTATTGGTCAGCAATTCGGGAGCTGACGCGCAAATTCTCCATGGAATCGTTGGAGAAGGCATGATCGTCGTCCAAATCTTTGAGTTCCTCCTCAAGCTCGCGTAGTTGTTCCTGAAGCTCGAGGATGACGCGGGAATGAAGGTAGCCGAAACCACGATAGATGGATTGGCTCGGATCACTTGATTGGTACGCTGCTTGTAAAGGGTAGCCTCGCGCGTATTCATCTCCTAGAGGCGTGCTGATATCAGCTGAGCCATCGCTGAAAGCTGCTCAAGACGCACCAGGTACTGGCAGAGTTTGTCTGAGTATGTCATTGATTTCCTTGAGTGTTGGTTGCTCAGGTGCTATCAGTCGCCGTCAGCTAACTCGAACCCACGATCAAGTGCGACAATGCAGCGACCTTCAGTCCCATTTTCTAGTTCCATACCTAGGTAAACCAATTGAGGCAGTGTATTCAAGGAGGACGAGACGCGAAAAGAGAGAAGAATAGGTTTGCTTGGACGCTGAATGCAGCTGGGGTTCTCGCTTAGGTTGGTAATGCAGTGGCGTAGTGGGCTGACAGCCTGCAGATGCGGGACTCAGACACGGCGGAGGTCCTTTTCGTAAATCCATGCACCCGCACGGTACATCGTCCCCTCGGAGCTCTTAAGTTGATACTGGATTCTTCCCGATTTGTACCGCGAATCGATGACACTACATTCAGATTTGTCGCAAACTCTTTTGCCGTCGACTATGGTTACGACCCTCGTGCTGACCTTGTCTCCCTTCCTATATGCTGCAGTTCTCTGTGCTGCGTTAGCCGTGTAACATCAATAGACTGTCTGGCATAGTACTTCGGCTGCATAAAGATCTACTTCACTACATGGTACGCAAGACATCCTCTCAAAAGTGGTGCTAAATTCGTTCGAGGGTATTGAGCAGATACAACAAGGGCTGCTAAACGTGTCAAAGCGATTGACAGTAGGAATACCGCAGGACTCGTCTCTGACAAAGCCGACTGAACAGACTGTTGCGGGACGTCGCTTCCAAATCTATCGAGTGGTCTACCAACAAAACAAAGGTTTATAACTAAGATTGCAACGGGGGTGAGCTGACCCCAAGCTAATGTTGGTGCCAAGGGGGCTAAATCAGTCAGCTGAACCGGTGAGACCTATGTGTGCGCTCAGCCGCAAGCCAATCTCGGATAAAGTGGTGCTTCGTCTGCACTCAGCTACGGTAGTAGCCGCCGCATATGCATACGTGTACAAGAAATGCCATGGAAGACTGACGGCTGGAGTAATCAAGATGATTTAGCGGCAGTACACTGTCAGGAATACAAAGCAGTGCTATTGTCTCATGAAGAAGCGTTGAGTACACTAACACAGATCATAATGGAGACATTAGCGATGGCCACTATCGTGCTATGCATCCAACACTGAAGACGTCGTCTAGCTCGCATATCTCCCAGTAGAAGATCTTTAGACAACGCGATAGAAGACGAAGAACAAACACGCTCATGACCGCTGTAAATGCAATACAAAACAACTCGCTCGAACGCTTCGCTACAAAAGACAGACAGGAAACAACAAATTAAGCCTCCGAGATGTAATCGAGGAACGACAGCATGCATGGCCGTGAGATGAGACGCATACAAGAGAGAGTTAGGAAAACGCAAGCGGGTGTCCTCAAACGAATCTAGTCGTGATAATATCCCGCTGAGAAAGAAATGTAATGATGGAAGGTACGAACAAGCGTACGAGTATGACGAAGAGCCAATTTGGGGCAGATTTTAACAACACCTGCCACTCTTGCTCTTCTGCGCCCGATTGATGTCTTCTTCCCAATCTTGCTGATGTCCAGCGACGTTGGGTGTAGTAGGGAAGCCCAGCCAGCTCCGCCTTTTGTCACCTGTGCCTAAGCGGAAGCTTCCGTTACCCGTTCCAGGGTAATCGAAGTAGCCAGCCACATTGCCGTTGTTGTCCATGGCAGGGGTGACACCAGCCATGGCGTACTGCCGTTGTTCTTCCTCGAGCTTCTTCTGCTGCTGTTCCACCAGCTTGCGAGTGATGACGCGAAAGACTTCGTCTACACCCTCGCCATCTTTGGCGCTGATCTCGTGGCAGCAGTCCCAGCCCAAGTCTTGTCCCCAGAAGCCGCTCGATCGGTTGCTCTGTGGTGACGCCATACCGCTGTGGAAGGCTGCCGGTACAGAGCCCCAGCCGCTTGCTGCAGCACTGTGTGGTTGTCCGTTCTGTGTGGGGTGGAGGTTCTCGGCGACGTATTCGATGCAGCGCTCAAAGGGCACTTTTCGCTTGGTAGGGTCTTCGGCTACGACGTCTGACTTCGTTCCTACCACATGGAGGATCACGTCCTCTCCAAGGTTTGTCTTGAGTTCCTTGAACCAGCGGCCCATCTCCTCGAACGAATATGGATCGGTGATGTCGTAACATAGTACTGCAGCATTTGCGCCTAGAGAAAATGTTAGTTCTGCGCTGAACGTTTGCTCATAGTAGACCGAACTCGGCTGCCGAATGTGGGGTATCTAGATAGTGGAAAGAGACCCGATGTGTATTGCGACAGAATATGAGACTTGATTCGGCGAAAGGAACAATACTAACGTACCCCTATAATACAGCTTGGATATGGACCGGAAGCGCTCCTGGCCTGCGGTATCCCATATCTGTAACCGAACCACGGTGGAGGTGTCGATATCCACAACCCTCTTTGTCAAGAAGGAAGCACCCACGGTGGACTGTGTCGTGGGAGGCGTAAAAGCGTTTTTGACATATCGGTGGACGAGAGAAGTTTTTCCAACTCCTTGGCTACCGAGGACCACGATCTTTGCTTCCAGACTGTTGGACATATCGCCGTATTACGCCAAATCTATTTGTATACGTCGGTGTTGGCGGTGCAGGGATGGGGCGGCAAGCGGTGTTGTGGGGTCCGCTCAGATATGCGCGGTCGCGGTGCCTCGGAGCAAGAAAGAAAGGAAATGCGTGGGAGGCGGCGGGAGAACAAGTTGCATGGCGAGCAGTGAGAAAGAATCGCCGGCAGATGTGAGAAGAGGCAGAGGATTGACGTAGAGGGTATCTGAGAATATTAGGCAGGAGGTGAGTGCCCGAATGACAGCCCAGCTGCGTTTGGCGCTTGCACCGATTCTCTTGGCTAGGGGAGCCATGTGACAGGCGCCTTAAGCCAATGTGAATCAGATCTGAGAAGGGTGCGTCCCAGATGGGAATGTGAATGCCCATCGTGATCGCAGCCCTGGGGACTGATAATCATCCAGGGGATGACGCGCCATGTTGATGCTGTGTGTCGGGCAGTCAACAATGCACGTCATGCCCAGCCAGCTGTCTCTTCCCCGCGTTTCGGAGCAGCACGGAGTCTTCCACGCGACCGACGAGAACGTTAATACCTACCCCAACTCAGCTCCCTCAACGAACGAGAGTCCCTGGCCAACACATATATCCTCAAGAAAACCGCCTGCGAAGGACCGAGACGGGATGCCTAATGCGACAAGCCCGGAATCGATCTCGCCACGAGCTCATGGGCTAGGGTGCTAACTCAGATGCGTCTCCGCGACCAGCATCCGAAGGCCGCGGGGATGAATGTACCGAGCTATTACCCCAAACATGCTGCCGTCACCAACCTGGCCCTTCCGCTCGTCCAAGCCCTCTAGTGTCTGGAAATAACCTAGATCGGCTCCATATATTTTCTGGCCTATCTTCGCGTCTTGATTACCTGCCCTTCAACATTTCGCGCTCAACACACCGCCGCCACGATGAACCACGACAGCAACAACACCCAGAAGGTGAAGCTCACCGGCGAGCAGGTCGCCCAGCACAACAACGCCGAATCATGCTGGGTCATCATCCACGGCCGCGCCTACGATGTCACCGAGTTCCTGCCTGAGCATCCCGGAGGCCAGAAGATTGTCTTGAAGTATGCTGGCAAGGACGGCACTGAGGCATTCGAGCCAATCCACCCGCCCGACACGCTCGACAAGTATCTCGACAAGTCCAAGCACTTGGGCGAGGTGGACATGAACACCGTCAAGGAAGAGGCAAAGGAGATTGATCCAGATGAGGAAGCGAGGCAGGAGCGCATTGCGCGCATGCCTATTCTGGAGCAATGCTACAACTTGATGGACTTTGAGGCCGTCGCGCGCAAGGTCATGAAGAAGACGGCATGGGCATACTACTCCAGTGGTGCCGACGACGAGATCGTACGTCTCTCTCAACGATAACCGCCATTGCCCGAGCTAACTTCGACAGACACTACGAGAAAACCACAGCGCATTCCACAAGATCTGGTTCCGACCACGCGTACTCATCGATGTCGAGAAGGTCGATATGTCCACCACAATGCTCGGCACCAAAGTCGACATCCCCTTCTATGTCACCGCGACAGCGCTGGGCAAGCTCGGTAACCCAGAGGGAGAGGTCGTCCTTACGCGCGGCGCACACAAGCACAACGTTGTCCAGATGATACCAACACTAGCGTCATGCTCCTTCGACGAGATCATGGACGAAGCAAAAGACGGTCAAGTCCAATGGCTGCAACTGTACGTCAACAAGGATCGGGAAGTCACAAAGCGCATTGTCCAGCACGCCGAGAAACGCGGCTGCAAGGGTCTCTTCATTACAGTCGATGCACCGCAACTCGGTCGTCGCGAGAAAGACATGCGAAGCAAATTCGACGATGTCGGCAGCAACGTCCAGAGCACCGGCGGCGACAATGTTGACCGGAGTCAAGGCGCCGCACGAGCCATCTCGTCCTTCATTGACCCGAGCCTCAGCTGGAAAGATATCCCGTGGTTCAGGAGCATTACCAAGATGCCTATCATCCTCAAGGGTGTGCAGTGTGTTGAAGATGTTATTCGCGCTGTCGAGGTTGGCTGTGACGGTGTTGTCCTGTCCAACCACGGTGGTCGTCAACTCGATTTCGCTCGCTCCGGTGTCGAGGTACTCGCAGAGGTTATGCCAGTTCTTCGCGCACGCGGCTGGCAAGATCGCATCGAAGTGTACATCGATGGCGGTATTCGACGTGCGACAGACATTATCAAGGCTGTCGCACTCGGCGCCAAGGGTGTAGGCATCGGTAGGCCTTTCCTTTACGCCATGTCTGCGTACGGTTTGCCAGGTGTCGACCGTGCTATGCAGCTACTGAAGGATGAGATGGAGATGAACATGCGCTTGATTGGCGCTTCAAGCATTGCGGACCTGAACCCTTCGATGCTCGACACAAGAGGGCTCAGCATGCACACTGCTACCGTGCCTCATGACACTTTGGGCATGAATGTCTACGACCCGCTCATCGGCCCTCAAGAGAGTGTTGTGAAGGAGAAGTCCAAGTTATAGAGGAGCTTGTGATTGTATTGTATATATATCTAGGCGCAACACATTTCTTCAAATATGGTCAATCGATCCTTACAGCGGGATGCCGTCTTTGAACCAAGTCAAAACATTTTTGGACTATCCATCCATCCAATATGTGCCATTATTCACAGCTCTGCGCTATCAAGTATGCCCATGTGGCATCCTTTGTCCGCATCGTGACTACGCGTAGACGCGTTCGGCGAGTGGGGAAGGAGCGCCCGGTGAACCTTCCGATCGTCAAGCGTCCTTGAACCACGGGTCGCTCTTTCCACTTCAATCGCAGCACGCCTCGACCATTCACATTATCGCAGCTTATTATTTCACATATCCCCGCCTTTGAATCGCCTTCGCATCATCGCTTTTACTTTTTGATTATATCTTGATATTATTCCATGGGCGCTCCTGACGTTGCAGCGCAGCCCGGCGCTGGCTGGGACGAGGCGCAATGTACAGCAGCACTCGCGCAACTGGAGCAGCTCCAGGCGCAGGTGAGGATCGCATGCCACCTTCTCTGGATAAGTTATGTTAATATGCGATAGATCAGCGACATGCGCCTAGCCATCCCCCGCATCATCGAGCCCTTCCACCGCCCTCGCAGTTCCGCGACGTATAAACTCTACGCTGACGGCGTACTCGGTTCACAGAAGAACCTCGATTCCCTCAAGAGCCAGTGGAAGTCACCAGAATTACAGAGCACGTTCGAACACGTCAAGCAGAGCCTCGGCGCAAATGCGGATTTGTCGGAAAGCGTCTCGATACCTTCTCATGGCTGGACGGAAAGAGCACGGAAGGCGAAGGAGTCGGCGAAAAATCAGGGAGGGGACAATAAAGAGGATACCGGTGCTATCGTCACTGACGAGGATATCGAGAGGATTGTGGTCGAGTTCAGGAAGGCGCATCCGAATCTCAAGGTGGAGACAAATGATGAGGATCGCAGCATCCAGACACGCTTCGTATCCGGCTCCGTCATGTTGAAATTCCGCGTTGGCATCGAGCGCGACACGAACGGACGGCACAAACTCAACGCAGAGTGTTTGGGGACTACGGAGCCCTTTTTAGCTATCACAAGATGTATTGCATCACGGTCGAACTCAGATGATTTGAAGTATCTTTTGGTATGTACATGGGATTGTGTGGCATGAGCATGTTTTGGGTGGATGCTAATTATTACAGGATATGATTGCTGCGTACAAGACTGTGAAAGGAACGTCGTGTGCTAAATGCGGAAAACTTCTGGATGACTCGGCGTTGACGCCTACTGCGCGACGAAGTAAACAGGTCGCTGGAACGACTGATGCTCTTGAAACCGTGTGGGAAGCTTTTCATGAAGGCTGTATCTGAACAGACTCCGAAGATGAATCGTCTTAAGCGAAGAACCACTGCTCCCCAAGTTCGTTCTCGGGTGGCCCACCCCGATTCGCTGGCAAGTGTTGCGCATCTTGCCACCAGATTCCGTCCATGTACCGAATAGCTTCGGGGAATGTATTGTATTCCCTGTTCTTGTATGGTTCTGATTGCCAGACCGCATCCGTCCACATTCGAGGGTATCGCTTCACGTACTTTCTGGTCCGGAAATCGTAGGCCTCTTTCCGCGAACGCCCACCTGACAACATACCCCCTTCTGTCCAGGGAGCAAACTTCGAAGCGCGGAAGCCGAGCTGGTGAGGGCCGTCGAGGTGGGTGTGTCTGGTCCATTGAGCCCGCGATGGACGGTTGGCCATGAAGTCTTTCGGATCAGCCGCACAGGTGACGAACATATCGGGGCCTTTGCCTTGGAAGATATCTTTGAAGCGTCCTAATTTGGTACCCTTTCTACCGTCTTTCGGCCAGATGAAAGCTTTCGAACTTTTCACATTATGTAGTTTTCGACCGTCTTGATACCATCCATTGGGCAGATCGGGATGACCTCGAGAGTATTGGGCAGGTCCGTGTCTCCACGGCTCTGGGAGAGGAATACTGAAAGATGGTAGATAAGGCAAACGTCCGGCCATATTGTTAGGGAAGTGTATTGCTAAGAAGTGATGGCAGTGTTTCGAGATTATCTCGAGAAGTCATCGCTTTTGAAGAGCCCATGTAATCAGTCGTTTGCTAGCGCAGATTGCAGAGACAAGATCGTCATACACCGCATGGTAGAGCTTGAGCGTGTGTATAGTCGTTTGCGTGTCGCTACTACCTAGCATACAAAGTTTTATATCATTCGGTCATGCACCCGCTCGCATTTGGCTCATCTTTGGAATGCCAGGCGTGGCCATGCACCTGCTGTGCCAAATTTCCATCAAGCATGTAAACCCTCCTCGCACCGGGTTGAGGTAGAGCATGCACGTGGCAGAGATCGTATTTCAATCTCGTGGTGCTTTGAGAAGATGATGTGGTACTAGTCCTTTCACACGACGCGGTACCTGAAAGACAGGGATCGCGAGGGTCCGAGCTCTCAAGCTTGAACAACGCGATCTCGTTTCTCCAGGTTTGTTTTCGGGACCATCAACAACACCGCCCAATACACCACCATGTCGCTTTTCGGCAATCTTGGAGGCTCGCAGCCCGCCTCTACTGGCGCATCCGGCGGAGGACTGTTTGGCACAGCAACGGGCGGATCAGGCGGTACTGGATCAAGCTTGTTTGGCAACCTAGGCGGCGGTACTTCGAATGCGCAATCTGGTACGACACAGGCACCAAGCTCTGGAGGCTTAGGAGGCGGACTTTTCAGTGGATTGGGCGGAGCAAAGCCAGCTACGACCACGACATCCTCACTGTTCGCTGGCGCCGGATCGACTTCGCAGCCGCAAACACAAACGCAGCCCAGCAGCCTTGGGCTGTTCAACAACACGGCGTCGCAATCAACAACCAACAACGCGCAACAAACGAGCGGATTCGGTCAATCGTCTCTCTTCGGCGCTACCTCGAACCAGCAGCAACCCCAACAACAGCAGCAGCAACAACAGGGCACGTCACTGGCCCAGGCAAACGCTGGCACCGGTCGCTCAGCCCACTTCGATAATTTGCTCGAGCGTGGGCGAAAGCGCAATGCTGGCGAGAATGGCACGACCAACTTCGACGAGCTGCCGTCCTTGCAGTTGGGCCTTGGAGACATCGCACGCAAGGTGCGCAACCTGGGCGCTGGCGGTCCCTCAGCCGACCAGGTCCAGGATCGCTCACAGGATCGCGCTGCGTAAGTTGAACACGATCGTGACATGTTATCTTATGCTGACTGCTTCCAGACACTACCTACTCTCCGCCTCAGGCGTGAAGATGGGTAGCACCCTCCACGACCTCAACCAATTCTCCTCGCAGAGCGTCCTCGCAGCTCCCGGTCAGGCACAGAACCTCTTCGACAACGACGTTGACGGCTACATCTCCAACCTGCACTCGCAATCGACCCTGGCGCTTATCCAGGAAGGACTCGAGCAATCCAAGCGCGACTTCGACACGTTCCTCGAAGACAATGTTCAGATTGAATGGGACAAGCAGAGGCAAAGGATCTACGAACACTTTGGGCTTGGCCGACAGAGCGAAGACATGGCAGCATCTCAGAGCGGCGCATTCGGCAGCACAGCTCGCGGAGCTTTTGGACGTGCAACAGGACGCAAGGGTCGTTCCATGGGTCCCAACGGTGCATCTGTCAACGGACGATCGACCTTTGGAGCATCTGCTGCTGGACCGCCTGTTCTCGGTGCTTCCCAGAGCGTGCTTGGTGGGCGCGATTCGTCCGACAAGTCAGTCATGGGCGGACAAGCTGCTCCTCAAGATCGATACGCTCGCGACAAGCAGGAGAAGTTCATGGAAGAGGTCAAGAAGCTTAACGAGTCCAGGCTGCGGGAGAGTACATTCTCGGTACTTCATGCGTTCTCCGATGTAGAGAAGGCTGCCGGTACAGAATACTCAGACCATTTCACACGCGCCTACGGAACGCTTATCTCCATCACCGGCGAGAAGACCGAACTGGAGGCCTCCAACCCTGGCTCGAACCAACCGAGGGAGCGAAGTTTCGCCAAAGACTACTTGGACGAACAACCAAACTCTGCTGCTAGCGTTCGCATGCGCAAGCGTATACTCGATGGGTCTCGAAAGTACCTGGAAAGCAGGTTCCTGGAACAAGTGGAAGATGTTCTGCGGAGAAACCCTGCAGAGGCGCTCGTTGGTGGTGTTCCCTCTATGCTCAACAAAATCCGAGGCTTCGTGAGAGCAAAGGCTGCATTCAAGGAGCTTGGCGCAGATACTGAGCTATTCCAGCGAATAGGCGAAGCTGGCGAAGAGTTCCCCTGGATCATCATATTCTTCCTCCTGAAGGGTGGTCTTCTTACCGAGGCTGCTGAATATGTACGAGAGAAGAGGAACTTCTTCCAGAACACCGACCGAAACTTTCAGGCAGCGATATCCCAATACGCCAGCGATCCGGACCGAAGACTGAACCCCGATACGCAACAGAAGGTCGCTCACACACATGCCCAGAGGACTCGCTTGAAGACGCCAGAGGACCCTTACCGAATGGCTTGCTACAAGATCGTTGGTCGATGTGACATGAGCAAGCGCAACCTGGAGCCGATCAGGGAGAACATGGACGACTGGGTATGGCTGCAGTTCAACCTGGCCCGCGAGGGTAATCGCGCTGAGGAAAATGCCGGCGAGATCTTTGGCTTGGAAGAACTGAGAACAGTTATCAAAGACATCGGCCAGCGCCACTTCATGAACGACGACGCTGAATCATCGGGCGGCTATGGAGTTTACTTCTATCTCGCTACCCTGGCTGGTCTGTTCGAGCCAGCTATCAACTACCTGTACTCTCACAACTACGTCTCTGCGGTTCATTTCGCGGTAGCTCTAGACTACTACGGCCTCATCCGCGTGTCGGACTGGACGACTGCAGGCGGAGAGATCATGACCTTCACTACTCGACAACAACCACAGCTTAACTTTGGACGCATCGTCGGCCACTACACAAGCGACTTCCGTGCTGCACGAGCTGATGCTGCGGCCGACTACTTGGTGCTGATCTGCATGAATGCGGATCTACCAGGCGAAGCAGGCCGACAACAGGCAGAGCTCTGCCACGAAGCTCTTCGCGAACTTGTTCTTGAGACACGCGAGTTCTCTACCTTGTTGGGTGACGTCAAATCCAACGGCGAGACGACACCGGGTCTTATCCAGGAACGTGTGCCGTTGCTCAAGCTAGATGGCGAGATGGGCTTGTTGAACACCATTACTAGCGAAGCCGCGAGGATGGCAGACGACAACGGACGCATCAACGACGCCATTCTGCTCTGCCATCTTGCCGGCGAGTACGACAGTGTCGTAACGATCCTGAACCGCGCGCTGGCTGAGGCACTCTCTGTAGAACTCGGTCAAGAGCCTCTCCGTCTGGAGCCGTTGAAGCCGCGTCTGACAGCTGCCGAGTCACAACAGCAGCAACAACAACGAACTGATCTGACTTCGTCGAGCTTGAGCATGCTGGGAACAGACGATCCTGTCGAGCTCGCGCAGAAGGTTCTTGCGTTGTACGACGCGAACAGCCTATGGTGGAGGAAGGTGTCGCAGATGAACCGCGACACAGTTGGAATACTATTCCAGCTCAACAACGCGAAGAAGATCATTGAAGCCGGTGACTTCATGGCCGCACTCGGCGTAAGTTCTCCCATCTCCGTTTTTCACGATCAGTCACTAACATTCCGCAGCAAATCGAAAACCTCCGCATCCTTCCCCTGTCCGCCAACGGCAATGTCAGCGACATCCGTGCCACCGCCAACAGCTTCAACTCATACCCACAAGAGATCTCACGCAACATTGGCAACGTCCTTCTCTGGTGCATTGGCTGCTGCTCGAGACATCGTGAGCGTCTTCTGTCCGGACAATTCGAGGACAAGATGCGTAAGGTTCTCGCTGATCAACTTCTGCAGAAGGCAAAGGACCTCATGGTCTTTGCTGGATTGATCAAATACAAGCTGCCACCAAGGGTGTTTGAGACGCTGGCAAGGGAGGGTCAGGAGGTTGGTGCTTTCTAGAGCTGAAGTGGTAACGATAGATGTTTGCAGGTTGGAGTCTTTGGATTTGGTAATGCAGTCATAGCATGCGCTTGGAAACGCTTGGGTTCGTGAGGAAAAGGTGATTGAGCATCTGCACAGCGATTGGACGCGTTTGGTTCGACATAGAGTGATACCTATAAATCATTGTAATTCGCGGCCAATCGTACCTCCCTGTGATCGTGATGCTGGGACGCCTTCGCCGGAAGAGGCCGCGTGGGGTGATGGCTAAGAAGAACATGTCACAATAGTCGTACGGTGACCCTGGCGCAGGCAATGTCTCGCCATCTTGGCCATTGTTGGCATGCAACCGACACCAATTCAAGCGACGAAAAGGTCGTGCGATGCCAGGAACGTGCCGGTGGCCGGTGTTGGAGTTCGCCAGACGATCCTTCGAGGCTCGGGCTGATCGGCGGAGTGGTGTGACCCCACTTGACGGACCGGGGAGCTCTTTTCTTTTGGAGCTCCCACGTCATATGCGCGCGACGCCGCGACCCATGCTCCGACTCCCATCACCTTATCGCCAGTTTGAGTAATACCTACAACTGTTGCCTATGATACATAAACTCCACGTAGAGGCCATCTAATCACCAACTAATCGTATTACCTCTGCTACTCACAACCACCCAGGACTCGGCAAAGCTACCCCTCCAACCGCCGTTGAGACCTGAATCTTCCCAACACGTAGGGACCCGCTTCTTCTCGGCGTCTTAACTTTTCCAACTAGACAGGTGAATCCACATTGACCTCATACTGACCCACGGCCAAATATCTCTTCGGACCTTCGCATCCAGCTGCGACTACCTCCAGCCTCCACTTACTACCTCAACTTCAACCTACACCTCTCACCCCGCCTAATACCCCAATCAACCATACCCAGACTCACAACATGGCGCCCACCGAGATCCCGCCGCCCCTCGATGGCAAGAAGAGGCGCATTGGAGTCATGACCAGCGGAGGTGACGCGCCCGGCATGAACGGAGCGGTACGCGCTGTAGTGCGTATGGCGATTCACAACAACTGCGAGGCCTTCGCTATATACGAGGGTTACGACGGTCTAGTCAAAGGCGGAGACATGATCAAGGAGATGCACTGGGAAGATGTCAGAGGCTTCCTGTCAGAAGGTGGTACCCTCATTGGCACAGCACGATGCATGGAGTTCATGCAGCGCGAAGGCCGCCGGACGGCCGCGAAGAACATGATCATCAAGGGTATCGATGCGCTGATTATCTGCGGTGGTGACGGATCCCTGACAGGTGCTGACAAGTTCCGCGCGGAGTGGCCGGAGCTGCTGAAGGAGCTGGTGGAAGAGAAGCAGCTCACACAGGAGCAGGTTGAGCCCTTCAAGCATCTGAACATTGTCGGTCTCGTTGGCTCCATCGACAACGACCTTTCCATGACCGACGCTACCATCGGCTGCTACACCTCGCTCGGACGTATCTGCGAAGCCATCGACTCAGTCGACACCACCGCCGTCAGTCATCAGCGTGCTTTCGTCATCGAAGTTATGGGTCGACACTGCGGTTGGCTCGCACTCAGCGCCGGTGTCGCAACAGGCGCCGATTTTGTCTTCACACCCGAGAACCCACCAAGCGAAGGCTGGCAGGAACAGATGTGCAAACAGATCAAGAAGCAGAGACAAATGGGCAAGCGGAAGACTATTGTCGTAGTCGCCGAGGGTGCCATCGATCGCAACCTAAACAAGATCACCTCAGAACAGGTCAAGGACATTCTGGCGAAGGAGGCGAAGCTCGACACACGAGTGACCACTCTCGGACACGTCCAGCGTGGAGGTACACCCTGCGCCTACGACCGTATGCTTGCGACACTCCAAGGTGTCGAAGCTGTTAAGGCGGTATTGGAGGCTACCCCCGACACACCCAGCCCGGTCATCTGTATGCAAGAGAACAAGATCGTCCGACGGCCGCTCCTCGAGGCTGTTGCGCAAACCAAGGAAGTCGCTGTAGCCATCGAGAACAAGAACTTCTCAAGGGCCATGCAGCTCCGTGACACCGAGTTCGAGCAGCAATACCAGGCCTACCAAATCACTACCGCACAAGATCAGCCAGACCTACTATTACCAGAGAACAAGCGCATGCGTGTCGGTATCATCCACGTCGGAGCCCCAGCTGGAGGCATGAACGCAGCGACCCGTGCTGCGGTTGCACACTGCATCGCCCGCGGCCACACACCAGTCGCGCTCCACAACGGTTTCCCTGGCATAATCCGCCACCACTCTGATGAGCCAGTTGGTGCGGTGCGAGACATCAAGTGGATTGATGCTGAGACCTGGGCCTCCAAGGGTGGATCTGAGATCGGAACGAACCGTGGGCTCCCTAGTGAGGATCTCGAGACTGTTGCGTTCGTCTTCAAGAAGTTCAAAATCCAGTCACTGTTCGTCGTTGGTGGTTTCGAGGCTTTCACAGCTGTTTCAGAGCTGAGGAAAGCACGCGAGTACTACAAGTCTTTCAAGATTCCTATGGTAAGTGCATCTCCTGATAACGCTGTTTCAATTCCAAGATGAGTAGTATGCTAACTCGACTTTAGGTCATTATTCCTGCCACCATCTCGAACAACGTCCCCGGAACAGAGTACTCCATCGGTTCAGATACCTGCCTGAACGCCCTCATTCAATACTCCGATGCCTGCCGTCAATCGGCATCAGCATCTCGTCGCCGTGTCTTCGTTATCGAGACTCAAGGTGGTGAATCAGGCTACATCGCAACTGTCGCTGGTCTCAGTATCGGAGCTATGGGCGTATACACTCCGGAAGAAGGCATCAGCCTCAAGATGCTCGATCGCGACATTGACCACCTCCGCGAGGTCTTCAAGAAGGACAAGGGTATCAGCAGGTCTGGCAAGGTAATCCTAGTCAACGAGAAGGCATCCAAGACCTACAACGTGCAAATCATCGCCCAAATGATCGCGGAAGCCGGTCAAGGTAAATTCGAGTCCCGTCACGGTGTACCCGGCCACTTCCAACAGGGCACCATTCCCTCCCCCATGGACCGTGTCCGCGCCGTCAGGTTCGCCATCAAAGCCATGCAACATCTCGAGAACTACGCCGGCATGGACCCCGACGAGATCGAAGACGACTCCATGTCTATCAGCGTCATCGGTATCAAGGGCAGCAAGCTCCTCTTCTCGCCCATGGAGCAAGTGGAGAAGAGGGAGACGGAGTGGCACCGTCGCCGCCCCAAGCATGAGTTCTGGATGGCGCTCAAGGAGACGGTTGACACGCTGAGTGGCAGGCCTCAGGCGCCTGTTAACCCGGATGATATCGCTACGTTGGCTGGACGGCCGAGGGCTACGAGCAAGGCTTATGGGTATTAAGGTGTGGGGGCGCGGGTTTTAGTGATTGTGACGACGGAGTTATGATTATGAAGTATTTGTAGATAGATGGATATAACTTTCCTATGATAATGACTTTGGAATGACAAACGATTAACACTCATCACCAGTACCATGGAACGGTTCGCTTAAACAACGGTTTGCCGGGGTTCGTAGGGATGGTCGAATCCATACCTAGGTACTCAACCATGGTAGCCAAGTATGACTCTACTGTGAAGACAGTACTAGGGAACATCTTTTTCCTCCAAGGCTTCTGCATTCACGATCCAAGACCACGGAGATTTACCAAATCGCGGCTGAGCTGAACTTCCACTCGCACACTTAAACCGGAATTGACGCCGAACAATTTCAGCACACCACCCCCTAACTGCTCTAGCTGCGGTAAGCTCCCAACTGCAGCAGTACGAGTCACGATGAGCGAATTCCAGTACGGGCTCAAGGACAAGTTCCTCACCAAGGAGGAACTCTACGAATTTCGTTTCCTCACAACTGTACTGGCCTGGACGAATCCTCTTGAGAAGAAGGCCACCGTCAGTACGAATACTACCGATTTCGGGCATTCAAGCAACAAGCTATACCCGTTCGCAGAGAAGCTTACCAACTTGTTGGTCCGTGATGTGGAAGTTGTCGCCGTGACAGCATCAGACGCAGGAGAGATTCTGTTCCAAACAGTTTGCGATGACAGCGGCGTATTGCTCACAGAAGATGAGACTGCCTCTGAAGCGGAAGAAGAGAGCGAGCCAGATCCTGCAGCGGCTGCTGGGTATGTGCAGAGCCTCTGCAATGAACAGCGAAGCAAGACGTTGGACGAGCAAGAGCATCACCCTGCCCTACAAGTCCATATTCCATTGACTACTGCCGATGATATGGGAGACTCAATCGGCTGTTGGTTACTTTCCAAGACAGAGAGACATCTGGAAGGAGTGACGCATCCCCGGACAACTGTCAGTTTCTCTCAGCATGCAGCCAATCTCGTGCACTTGATCAAGGCAACCTACGAACAAACATCAAAGGGTACAGCTGCATTGGCCAGAGACCAGTTACGTAACTACGTGCTCTTGACCTCGACCGCCAAGATAGCTTCGCGCATCCAGAAAGGCAGCAAAGACCGCAACTTTTACGACTATCTAAGCAAGCCTGGCGGTGATCTTGATGACTTCATGCTGCAGGAAGGTTACCACTTCAGGTCAGTGCTTCTGAGTACCGCCCGCGATGTTCTCTACTCAAACTTTACCGAAATCCAGCGGAAAGTGATCGTTGCAACGATCGGGTTTCTGGAACGTCGGTCATCCGCCAATGCAGACAAACTGCCCTGCCGTACTCAAGAGGCACTGGAAAATACCCGAAAAATCATCAAACCACTCACCCAGTTCAAGGACCTCCTGAACACCGGCGAATCGACTGTCTACAACCAACATACTGCTAGTCTTTTGCAGGACATTCTTAGTGCTGTGCTCGACAACCTAGTTGCCTGCTTCGAGTGGCTCGCAGCTGCACTGCGAAACGCACAATTGTACAAGAGCAGCAATTACGACGCACTTCCAGGAAGTCCCGCAAGCGACGAGATTGCACTCGCAGGTCACTATTTCGATCATCTTTCGAAACAAGCAGGTCTCTGGCTTGATGTTTTG